ACCTATATCACCTACATTACTCTTATTACCTTATTATTATTCATATCACCTACATTACCTTATTCCTACTCATATTACTTTCTTACCTTGTTATTACTCTTATTACTCTTATTACTCTTATTACCTTATTATTACCTATATTACTCTTATTATCTATATTACTCTCTTACCTTATTATCACTCTCTTACCTTATTACCACTCTCTTACCCTCTTATTACTTCCTTACCTTCTTATTAGTTAGTTACTCTCATTACCCTCTTATTACTACTCTTATTATCTATATTACTCTCTTACCTTATTATCACTCTTATTATCTATATTACTCTCATTACCTTATTATTATCTATATTACTCTCTTACCTTATTATTATCTATATTACTCTCTTACCTTATTATCACTCTCTTACCTTATTACCACTCTCTTACCCTCTTATTACTTCCTTACCTTCTTATTAGTTAGTTCCTCTGTTATTACCTATATTCCCTTCTTATTCCTTTCTTACCTTGTTATTACCTATATTCCCCTCTTATTACCTATATTCCCTTCTTACTACTCTTATTCCCGTATTATCTCTCTCCTTATTTTCCCTTCTATTATACTACTTAGCTATTATTAGTTATTAATTAGTTTATTAGTATTAGTTAGTATTATTATATTATTATTTAGTTAGTTAGTATTATTATAGTTATTTATTAGTTAGTTAGTATTAGTTAGTATTATTATATTATGTTAGTAGTTAGTTAGTTATTACTTATTATTATCCCTTACCCTATTACTCCTCATATTACCCTCTTATTCCTCTCTTACCTTATTATTACCCTATTACTCCTCATATTACCTTGTTATTACTTAGTTACTCTTATCACTCTCTTACCTTATTACCACTCATATCACCTATATTCCCTTATTATCTCTCTCCTTATTTTCCCTTCTATTATACTACTTAGTTATACTCGTCTTATTACTTATATCTCTTACTTATTATTAGTTTATTACTTACCCTTACTTAGTTTATTAGTTATTACTTACTTAGTTACCTTGTTATTACTCATATCACCCTCTTATTACTTAGTTACTCTGTTATCACCTATATTACCCTCTTATCACTCTCTTGCCTTATCTTTTCTTATTTTCCCTACTTATCTATTTTACTTAGTTTATTAGTTATTATAGTTAGTTATTTAGTTAGTTAGTTATTATTATCTCTTATCTTATTACTACTCATATTACTCTCTTATCTTATTACCACTCATATCACCTATATTCCCTTATTATCATTCATATTACTTCGTTACCTCATTATTATCTATATTCCCTTATTATCACTCTTATTACTTCGTTACCTCATTATTATCTATATTCCCTTATTACTACTCATATTACTCTCTTACCTTATTATTCCCTTACTATTACTTCCTTACCCTCTTATTACTTACTTATCTTATTATCACTACTTATCATACTACTTACTTATTATTACTTTATTACTCACTTAGTTACCCTACTTATCATACTACTTACTTAGTTATAGTTATTATCACTTATTATTATCTCTTACCTTATACTATTCTCTTCAATTCCCCTATCACCTTACTTATTCCCATCTTTACCTTCCCTTATCTCCCCCTAACCTAGCTTCTATTCACTTATCATTCCTTAGTACTACCTATATTACTAACTAACCAGGTCCTATTAATCTGTCCTTCAATATTACTTATTCCCTATATTCCCCCTTTTACTTCCTTACCTTTTCACTACTCATATTCCCTTATTACTACTCTCATTACCTTCTTACTACTCATATCTCCTTATTTTCCATACTTATCTATTTTACTTAGTTATATTATATAGTTAGTTAGTACCCTCTTATTACCTAGTTACCTTATTATTACTTAGTTGCTCTGTTATCACCTATATTCCCTATTACTCACATTACCCTCTTATTACTTACTACTTATTATTATCTCTTACCTTATACTTACTTATATTACTTCCCTTATCTACTAACCTATTCCTAAGGTCCTATTAATCTGTCTTGAAATATTACTTATCACCTATATCACTACTCATATCTCTCCCTTACTATTCCTTACTTATACTACTTACTTATTCAATCCCCTTATTATTATACTATTACCTTATCTTTCCTTACCCATTCATTGTCCTTACCTTCTTATTACTACTAGTTTTTACTACTTACCCTTACTTCTTACTTTCTTAACTTCTTTACTTACCTCAGTCTTCACTATCCCATTCCCTATCTAATCCCTTTCCTTACCTTATCTCCTTCACTTACTTCCCACTTATTATTCCTCTGTTACTTAGTCTCCCTTATCTCCACTTACTTATAGTCTCTATCTCCCCTAATATTACTTCCCACTTATTACTTACCTTACTTGCTTACTTATTACTTCCTTAATTATCCCTTCTTTTACTTATTCTTACTTTATTATCACTTCCCTTACTTAGTTACCTTACTTATACTACTTACTTATTATCTCTTCCTTATCATTCCTTACTCTTATTACTATTCTTATTACCCCTACATTACTACCTTATCATTACTTATTATTAGTTAGTTATTACTTACTTAGTTATACTCCTTATCAGTTATATCACTTACTTATTACCTTATACTTACTATTCCTTACCTTCACTTCTATTATCTTTATTCCTTACCTTATACTTACTATTCCTTACCTTCACTTCTATTATCTTCATTACTTCCCTTATACTTACTCCTATCTTCACTACCATCACTCTCCTTACTTACCTCCTACTCCTTATGTTCCTTAATCTTTCTTTTTACTATCTTCCCTTACCTCCCTGCTTACTTATTTATTACCTATTTATTACTAGCTAGTCCCCATTAACTTACCTCATCCTTCCCTAATATCTTCTAACTACCAACATTAGTCTCTATATCACCTCTTACTTACTTATTTCACTTACTTCACTTGTTAACTACTATATTACGTATAGTTAATATCATTCACTTTATCACCTACTTATCAACCTGCCTTGTCATTAGCCCCTTGCCTTATTCTAGCTTATAGTCATCTCCTACTTACTTAGTCCTCACCTCTTTACTTATTCTTACCTTATTATTACCCTATTACTACTCATATCTCTCCCCTCATATCATCTTATCATCACTTCCCTTATTAATTTCTTACATTATTTATACTTCCCCACTTCCTTAGTCAATTAATTTACCTTCTTTTATTATTACTTATCATCACTTACTTACTTTACTACTCCTTACTTATACCACTTATTTATATTTATCATCCCTTACTTATTACCTCTTAGCTATAGTTACTATAGTTCTCTACTTATCTTACTTCAACCCTTAATATTACTACCTCACTTATTATCTTTCCCTCTCTATCTTTATTTATTTACCTATACTCTTAGTTAGCTATCTTATTACTTAATCCCCTTGCTTGTCCTTCTTTATACTTCCTCACTCTGATTATTCCTTACTATTCCTGTATATATTATTCCTTTTATTACCCATCTTCCCTTCCCCTTCACTTATATTCCTTCCTTATGTATTGGTCTTCTCTTGCCTTACCTATACTATCTAACTAGCTAGGTCCTATTAGTCTGTCTTCAATATTACTTCCTTACTCTGTTATTACTTCCTTACTTATTATTGCCCTGTTATCACTCTCTTACCTTATTACTACTTTATTACCTTATTATTCTCCTGTTATTACCTATATTGCTCATATTATCACTCTCTCCTTATTTTCCCTTCTATTATACTACTTAGTTTATTACTTATTAGTTACTTACTTACCCTACTATTACTTATTAGTTTATTACTTATTATATAGTACTTATTAGTTTATTACTTATTATTCTCTCTTACCTTATACTTACCTATATTCCCTTATTATCTCTCTTATCACTTCCTCATCTTATTATTACTTAGTTACCTTATTATTCCCTATATTCCTCTCTTACCTTCTTACTACTCATATTACTTACCCTGTTATCTCTCTCCTTATTTTCCCTACTTATCTATTTTACTTACTTTATTACTTATTATATTAGCTATATTATATAGTTAGTTAGTCCCCCTGTTTTACTTACCTTGTTATTACCATATCACTCTCTCCCCTCATATTATCTCTTCATCTCCCTTACTATCCCTTCCTTATTAATCTTACCTTATTTATACTTCCCCACTTCCTTAGTCAATTAATTAACTTAGTTACTTTACTACTCTATACCACTTACTTTTACTATTCCTTACTTATTACTTTACTTACTCATCTTACACTTCCTTACCTTATTACTACTCATATCACTTCCTTACTTTATTATTATTTATATTACCTATATTACCTTATTACTACTCATATTACCCATATTACCCTCTTATTACTTCCTTACTTTATTGCTACCTATATTACCCTCTTATTACTTAGTTACCCTATTACACTCTTATCACTCTCTCCCCTCATATTTCTTATCATCACTTCCCTTACTATTTCTTACCTTATTCATAGTTACTTCCTTAGTCAATTAATTAATTTAGTTACCTTCTTTTATTATCACTTACTTACCTTACTATTCCTTACTCTTATTATTCTTATTTAACCTTCTCCTTCCTTATTATACTTACTTAGTTATACTCGTCTTATTACTTATATTACTTAGTCACTTATTATCACTTCATTCTCTCTTACACTTACACACTCTTATCATTCCTTACTTATTATCACTTCCCTATAGTCTGTCTTTCTATATTAGGTCCTTACTATCACTTCCCTAATATCACTTACTTCCCTTATCCCTTACTCTAGCATATTTATTATTCCTTTTGTTACTTATTTCACTTACTTTATCATACTTACTTACCTTATTTATAGCTTGCCTTATTCCTTAGTTTTTACTACTTACTCCTTAGTTTATTCCTTTCTTACTTTACTTGTTCTTTACTATCATTCCTTAGTCTTTATTATTATCTTCTTTCCCTATCTAATACTATATCTTCCTTACTTACTCTTCTATTTATTACTCCTACTTATCATTCGTCTCTTACTTACTCTACCTTGTTATCACTTATTCATTACTTACTATTATCTCTTATATCTCTTCCCGCTTATTCATACTTACTTAATTTCCTTACTTACTCTCATTATTACTCCTTCCTCTACCCTCCTATCTTACTCCTATCAACTACGTCTTCATATATTAGTCTCCTTGCTATCTCTTACTTATTATTATTACTTCTTTACTCACCTTGCCCCCTACTTCGCTCTCCTACCCTATCTCCTACTTCTACCCATCACTTCCTCTAGCTTCTATTCGCCTGTCTTCCAATATTCCTCCTTGCCTTATTATCACGTATTTATTAGTTCTTCCCTTAGTTAGTCTTACTTACTTATATCACTTATCCTATCATATAACTCTAGGTTCTATTCCGTCTTCAATATTAGCCCCTTATCACTATTACTACTCTCATCATCCTTCTTATCCTTAGTCTTACCTTATTATTACTTATTATCCTTTCCATATTCTTACTATTACCTATTACCACCCAATATCCTTCTGGCTAACTCGCTTCTATCACCTTCTTACTTTACCAACTCTTTGTTCCGAACCTATCTATATTGCCCATCATTGGTCTTTCTTATCATCTATCTAATCGCTGTGTCCATCGGACTCCCTTCTTACTCCCCACTTGCTTCACTAGCCTACTCCTCCTTCAACATCCTCTTTCACTAAATCACACCACCTAAAAGCCATGTCCTATTTCTGACTCAATAAGTAATAGACTTCCTGTCTCATACATAAATCATCTATCTTAAAAGTTCTGTCCGCCAATCCAATGTGCTTCGATGGCCAGGATAAATAAAAAATTTTAGGGGTGGTACAGCAAAACCTCTGATGGCAAGAGAGGTACTCAATAGAACATATACAACCAACTACAAGATGGCTGTGCCGTGAATCCTGCACTAACTAATCCTCAATTCCCTACTCTTCTTCACATGACTCATGTACACTATCACTCACCCCATATCCTAACTTATACCTAGTCTGCCTTCCAATACATTATGCCTTCTCTCTTCCCTGATACTTATATATCTTCTACATCAATCAATTTCTATATCTTATCCTATTCCTACACTCTTCTTTACTCTTATCTACCATCTCACCACTCAATATCCTTCTACTACCTTCTTACTAATCCTCCTCATCTATCTTTTCCATGTACCGCAGTATCTATCAGGTTTCTATCTCTTGGTCTTCCTTACTTTCCTTAATTCCTATCAACACTCCATCCTTCTTGCTCTCTATCACTTTATACTTGCTTCTTCCATCTTCTCCCCTTGTCTGGTACTCACAGCCACACGTCTCGTTCTGTACGGTGTCTTCACTCTGGCCACCTCTGTGGAACATTCGCTCTGCTGACGCAGAAATTTCCACCGGCCGGAAGTCCTGCAACCACTCCTCGCTGCTGCTTTCCCAACAAAACACCCCTAAAATTTTTCTAAATAATTTAGTAAAATTTTTATTTTCCCTGTCATTCCTCTCAATCCCCCTGATCTCTCTTACTTACTATCATTATTCCTTCTTTCTTACTCTACCTCCCGTCCTTTCTCGCTTTCTACCACTTAGTACCAATGTCTAACTAAACTAACTATGCAAATCGTATCTATGGTAGGCAACTAATGCCTGCTAGCAACTATTACTTAGTAGTTACCTCCCTTCACTTATCTTCTTGCTTATCTAGCTCCCTAGTCTTATTCACCTTCTCTCTTGTCCTATCTACTCTTCCCTACTATATCCCTACTTCATTACTTAATCTTATTTATTATCACTTACTTATACTTATCATTATTACTTATATTACTATACTTACTCGCTTGCCTTATTTATTCCTTCCTTAAGTCTCCTTACTCTTATCATCATTTCTATTGTCACTTAGTTCTTATTTTATCTTTACTTATTATTTCCTATATCACTTACTATTCTATCATCTCTATCCCTGTTTCCTATCCCATTTCTTCTATCAAACATACTTCTCCCTATCTAATCCATCTCTAACATCATATCTATAACACGTCCACATATACTCCATTAATCTAACTACTACAATATAATACTAATCTATCCTCATTCTACTTATTTATTTTTATCCACTACTTTTCTTACTTATACCACACACTGTTATATTTCTATCACACACTGTCTTGCATACATATAAGCTGAATAGAGGCATCAAGGACATATTCTGGAAGATGCTATGTGCACAGATCTACTACATTTGAACACTCCCTGTCATACTAAAATCAACTGATAAATTAAATCGCCAAGTTTTGCACAATACAACATTTGCATGCACACCCATGCACGGCTTTTCAATCAAAACTGCAACTGATCTGATCAGAGCACTGCATGTTGGATTCCCTATTCTCCACAGATGCCTGCTGCACTGCAACGAGTGAGCAAGAGCCTTCAGGAGTACAGTGTCAAAGTACTTCCACTCCAAGCAGTGAATACAACAATACCCCATCCAATGCAGCTTCCAACTCCAGAGTTTTCAAGGATACAACTGGCTGTTTTACTACTTTTCTGAATCATCCTGAAATCTCTGAAATAATCAATGAGTATTTTGAAAGAGTAAATCTTCCCCAACACAATGAGTATCCAAGTATTAAGGATGAGATTTATGAAGTTGTGGCAATGAAACTGTATTGGATAGCTAACTCGACGAAAGGTGGTAGTCTTAAAGAAGCAGCAATTCAAAAAGCTAAGAAATGGCTATGCGACTGCTTACACAGATCCGAACCTTATATTCTTCTAATCGAGGTATCAGAGTTCAAATTTAACCATATTCCAATCAAGGCATGGAAGTTCCTCATTGATCATTGTGGAACTAGAGAGTTATGGATATCAAACACTACTATTGACACTGCAGCACTAAACCACCCAGATCTCAGTAAGATGACGGTGTTGTATTTGATTGGTGTTGGATTGACAAAAATGCCATGCCTGTATAATCTCACAGGTCTTAAACACCTCTATTTGGGTGATAATAAAATTAAGCATGTCAATCTTCAAAGCTATTTTGATGCTGAGACAGGTAGATGCAACTCCATGCGAAACTTGGAGTATCTGAGCTTGCGTGGAAATCACATATCAAAGATTGATGCAAGCATCAAAAAGGTTTTTCCACATCTACATACTTTAATAGTTCGGGATGGGAAAGAAGTAGATATGAGTCTTCCGCTTAGCGATGTGAAACATGAATTGAAAGATGCAGGCATCGAGCTTGTTGAGCTGGATGAAAAGAAGGAGAATGGATCAGATGTCAAGAATTAATTAAATTGATCTTTAATGCTAATGTAGTTTAGACAGCACTTTAATGCCCCCTCAACCTTTGTCTTCCATACAATGTTCTTTGGGACTGCTACTACTGATTTTAGTCTGTGGTTCTTGGCATTGATAAACACGACTTATATGTATCCCAGCTGTTGTCTTAAAATAGAAGAGTCATACCAGCCACTACACCTAAGGGCAGTACCTAAAATGTTTATTGCCAAACAACAGAACTGATAGAGTTGCTCCCATGTACCTACTGGCTCGTCTCCAGAGAAAAACAACAAGCCTCAAAGCTAGCTTACTCCTGTGTTTGAACTGTACCATAACCAACTCAGTCCTCCAAAGAATCCCCACATCCTACCACTCGTGCTTTTGCTTGTCTCTCGTTCTCTACCAGCTACGGTTCTTATGCTGTAAATACTCTTGAACGAGTTTACGAGCACACAACCCATCTGAAGAGGAAGGCTTCAGTGCCCAAGAATGTCTCCAGAGACTAGGACAAGCTACAGACTAATGAATACTCTTCGAGACATGTTTGAAGACTTACTGAGTAAAACACACAAAGCAAAATTAAATAGAAAGACTATTTCAAGTTGTGAGCCAATTTATTG